CAAGGGCTCACTCCAAGAAGGGCCCCACAGTGCCAGGCAAGAGACCATAGAAATCCATTCTGCTGGTGGCATCCGATGGAGGGCAAAGAAAAACACCCAGGGGATTCATTCAACGAGGATCCTAGAGTGGGGTGAGCACTCCAGGACTCTGGGATGGCCAGCATGGGGCCCCTGCTCACTTCCCATCACCCTGCCATCTCTGCCCCACTCAGGCTGATGGGTGGAGAGTCACAGGTTGTGCCCACAACCTGCTCTACAATGTCACTGGCTGGCGAGGCTGCCCCACCCAGCGCACTTAGCTCCTGGTGCCAGTGCACAACAGCCCTTCTGAATTATGGCCCAGAGGCAGCTAAGGCAGCCCCCACCCCCAACAGACACCAGTGAGGGGGCAAGGGCACCCGGACACGCCGAGCCTGTGGCCTTGTAAGATCCAGGCTGGCACAGGAGGCCCACGGCTCCTGGCGCCCCAGCATGGAAGGCGTTAAGCAGAGTCTGAGGGTAGGGGCTCAGGGCTGAGGACTGGCTAAGGCCATAGCCATAGCTCTGCCTGGTGCTCTCGGGAGCTCCAAGATCATAGGCCATTGCTCTGCTGTCCCCAAGGGAGCCCTTCAACCCTGGGAGAAGGTCACTCAGAGAAGATGTTTTGGCTGAATCAATACAGTCAGCAGTGGATGCGTGCCTCACAGCCCCACGGTCTCCTGGGCCCGACAGCTGAATTGTCAGGGCCAAACTAACTAGGTGGTGGGCTGGTGCGTCAAGCTGGGAGCCCCAGCAATCTGGGATGCTCTGGAATCTTCTAGTTAACAAAGTCTGGTGGGAGACTTCAGTCCAAACCCTCCAATCCCTGCTCCTGCCTATGCAGCGGCCAGAACTCATTCCGTGGGCACTAGGGCAGAAAGGAGAATGCAGCACTGCCTGGTGCTCCAGCCACAGGAAAAGGGCCAGGAGTGGACAGGAAGATGGGCTGGTGGACAGAGGGCTGGAAGGGCAGACGGAGTCATAAAGGAAGCAGTGAGGGATTTACAGGAAGATGGGCGGCCAGGCTGGAGCAAGGCTGGAGGGGTGAGGTGAACAGCTGGACACACACATGGGGGAGGCCAGCTGTGGTCATGAGGGAGGGTTCTCTGGGCAGCCTGGCTTCCAGACAGGGACCCAGAGCCACAAGGACAGTGAGGACAAGGCATGTCGGGGGACACGGCATCTGTCATGTCACTCAGCGCTCGAGAGCTTGGGGTGTTTATCTCCTCCATAAATTGGTTCCGGCCCAGAGGACATGATAAAAGGGCTTCTTTAGCAAATAAACAGCTCTACAGCCAGGGCAGGAGCAGAGTAGAACAGGGATGGTTGGGGGCGGGCAGCACCAATGAGGGGGCACAGAACAGGCAGGCAGCCCCCTGGCTTTAAGCCCACCTTGCCCCGCAGGGGTAAAGACCAGATTCTTCTCCCCTGGAGGCAGCATCACCTACAAAGGGGAGGCCTTGACCCTGGGCCGGGAGGAAGGCTCTGACACAGCTAGAGGGATGAGCAGGAGGGGAGGGTGAGTGTCCACACCGTGCTGAGCTGGTTCACCAAGGGGGCCCGGCTTTGGTCCCTCTCTACTTCGGGGAGCCAGACTCCACTGCCACAGGTGTGGCCCTAAGTCCCCGTGGAGGAAGGAGGGGTGAGGCAGGTGGACCGGACCATGGGCTCCCTCCATGGCAGCACAGAACGCCACAGCCTCAGGGACAGCTGTGAACTTATTGTCACATCCGGCCAGGCAGGACAGGTGTCCACAGACAGCCAGCAACTTGGTGGAATTCCACAAGCTTCTTGACTTCCTTCCCAGGACAAGTTCACTGAGCCCTTGCCCTGTGCCAGCAACCCCAGGATCACCTCCCTAGGCTGTGTCGTCCATGGGGTGAGACTACTGGACACACAGGAAGCTGGGCTCACTTGAGGGGCCCTGGGGCTGCACTCACTTTTACTGAAAGATCCCATGTGTCTCAGAGTCCCGAGTTTGAGGAGTGTTGGCTCCCAAAGGGACACAAGCACCCCTGTGTGATCAGAGTCATGTGAGTGTGCACACATGTGTGTGTACTGAGGGTACAGTGTGGGACTCTAGCTGCAGAGGTGACGGGGACCTTGAGGACAGCAGGCGCGGGGCAGGACGCAGAGACCAGATCAGGAGAAGATAAAAGGATGAAGGAAAGTTGAGGCCACACAGCTGTGCGGTGCCCTGGCCTGGCCTGCCCAGCCTCCCTGGCCTTTTAGTACCTTAAGGTCGCCATTTACATGGGCAGCTGCTCACTGAGTTCTATCTCTGGGGTCTCAGGATTCAGACAAACTGAGTCTCAGAGCCCCTCCACCCACAGGAACGCAAAGCTACATACAACACTGTGGGGAACAGACAGGGGCTTCTTGGGCGCCCTGACCCTTGGTCCCTGGGCCCTCCCGGTAGAGATGAAGTGTCAGTTCAACTAACGTGAACACGCTTGGACCACAGAGTCATGGATGTAAAACCATCTTCCGGGCCGAGGGCCCCAGCTTCAAGGCAAACCCAAAGGTAGAGCCCTCCGAGAGCATCCATGTGTGCGAGCACCCGACACCCTGAGGTCCATGTTCCGATCAGGTGCGGGAGGTGCCCTCACTTGCCCAGACCAGAGGGTTCACAGCCTGTGTGCACCACAACACAGGGAGTGGAGGTGGCTGGGCACAGGGCCCCCCACCTCCCTCCCCTGACCCTGGCTCCCCCAAGTTCTGCTCTCCCACCGTGCAGACAGCCCCCCTCAGTGACCGTGCTGCTGGGAGCCCTGACTGTTCTAGTCAGGGTCAGTGTGGCTAAGCTCCCACTCAATCAGAATCAGGACTGGAAGAGGGGGTGGGCATGAACGGAGCTGCGGCCCCTTCTCCTTCCACAGACCCTGTGCTCCCTCAGCACCGGAGGAACAGCACAGGTTCTCAAGCCAGGTGGCGGGGCCACCTCGATGCTCTGTCCCATGCAGTCTCCGGTCTTGGCCAAAGCAGGGAGAGTCATGCATCACTCTAGAGATTTGAGGCAGGAGCCTGCTCAGAGCCAGTGAACAAGAGGGGCCAAGCCCCCCTGGGGAGGCATAACCTAGTGGACAGGGACAGCATCTACACCGGGCAGTAGACTTGGGGGTGGGCGCTGAGTGACAGAAGGAAAAGCCACACCCATACAGGGGGAGGAGACAGAGACTCCAGGCAGGAGGCTGGTGTTGCAGCCCAAGGGTCAGCCTGCTCCTGGAGGAGACAGAGGCAGGTGTCAGACAGTGAGAAGGATACCGTGGAACATGCATGGCCCCAGCAAGGCCACCCATGTGCAGCAGCAGCCCCAGAGGACATTGCGTGGCACAGCATGGCCCACTGTAGCCAGTCATCTGAAAGCCCTGCTGCGTGGCAGGAGCACAGAAATTTGAGCAGGTGGTAGCCCGTTAGAGGGTCACTGCAGTGGTTCAGGCAGGACATTCTGGTGGCAGAGATGGAGGTAACACCAAGGACCACTGAGGACACTTCGGGAGGCCCTGCATTCTAGGCTTATGGAGAGACTGAGTTTGGGGGAGTAAAGAGGAAAGATGAAGGGGCCCGAGGCAGGGCCCCAGGGCAAGCAGAGCTACTCTCAGAGATGCAACAGTGCTGGGGAGGGGGAGGCCCAAAATCCCAGTCTGCATCGGGGTTGACACCTTTCCCCTCACCCACGACGAAGCTGCATAGAGCTACGGCCTCGCAGCAGCTGGGCCTGGGGCGGGGACGTGGCCCCGGCGTGCATGTGGCTTGGCAGGCAGCTGGCGTGTGAGGCTTTCGTGAAGTACGCGAGCTCCACAGGGCACAAAATGGTAGCACTGCAGACCAGGGGCCAGGCATGAGGCCCGGCTGGAGGGCAGAGGACACGGAAAGGGGCAGCCTCTTCCCCCCGGAAGGCTGGCCAGGGCAGCAGTGAAGCAGATGGCAGAGACACAGGATGTGTTGGGGGGCAGGCCAGCAGGGCTTGGTGTCAAGCTGGAAGGGACCCCAAATACCCTTCTGCGCCAAACCCTACACAATGAGGATGTTGGAGCCCAGAGCCATTAGCTGACTGGGCCAAGGGCCCCTGAAAGGCTGCAAGCTGTGTGGAGAGGCTGCCTTTCCAGTCCACTCCCGAGCACTTCAGGCTGCAAGGGCGCCCCTCTGCCGGGCACACAGCACAGGGCTCCGCCTGCCGCGCTGAGCCCATGCAATTGGGGAGTGGGCTCAGCAGACAGGCACCAGCCTTCACAGCAAGGGCATTGAAGCTGATGGGGAGCCATAGGAGCCCCATCCCACCCTGCAAGTCCTCAGAAGACTTGGGGACAGGACTGTGGTGCGCAGGCAAACCCACTCTCCACAACAGAAGCGCCCTGATGGCAGCACTCCTGCAGTGTGAATTCCCCACCATGGCCAAGTGGAAGCTGCCAACCCGGAGCCACCAAACCAAGCACCAAGGGAGGTGACACACAGAAGTGGCTCTGCAGAGAACTGTGGCTACCCCACTCCCAGGCAGGGCCAGCCCAGCTGGCCATGCAGTTGAGGCCAGGGCTGCCACCTGGGGCCAGCTTCTTCCCCAAAGCCAGCATTTGAACACTGTGAGGGAAGGCGCTTTGCCAGGTAGCCTTTGCCTGGGCTGTCCCTAGCAGCGTCCTCCTGACCCACACAGAAGACTGTGCAGGCAGGAGGGTGTGAGGGTCCCCTTCCTCCCGAGGTCTTTGTTCTCAGAGCCTGGCCCCAGAGGGCCCTGAGCTTCACCAGCTGTGCCCACATGCGCCATCCTACCCAGCAGCCATCAGGAGTTCCCATGGGTGCACCACGGCCCATCCACCTGCTTCCCCTGCCCTCAGCCCCCTGCCTCAGCTTCCCAGAGTGCTGGGATTACAGGTGTGTGCCACTATACCCAGCTGCCTTATAGTTTTATGATTCCTTTCAATGTTTAGTTGATGTTATGGATTTACATCTGTTTTTAATTTTTTTCCCTTAGAATTCACTTCAGACTGGCCCTGAATCAAGGCCGGCAGCTTCCTGACGCTGTTGGCTTCAAGTAGGAACGTAAAGAGATGTCTTTCTATGGTCTGTTGGCCAGTTTAGAACTTGGGCAGTGAAATGGTCAGTTCATTAGAAACAGCTTGAAGCAACCCCCAACCCCTGGTGAGCATGGCAGGTTGCGGTGACCCAGGACAGGAGCCTGCACCATGCCGGGACCTGGAGCGCCGGGAAACCAAGCAGCCCCTCTCCTGTTTTGTTTTGTTGAACTTCAATATACATGAAAGTATGGTCAGCTATTTTGAAGAGAAAGAGAGACTCTATGACAGCCATTAGTGACTTCCCTACTGTCTGGTTTTGAAGACCTAAAACACCTTCCTCATTCTGTTCAGATCAGTTTTTTGGGGTTTTTTTTTTTTTTTTGTCTTTTTCATTTTTATCAGTACCAGGGATCGAACTCATGACTGCACACTTGCAAGGAAGGCGCTTATGCCGCGGAGCTAAATCCCCAGCCCCTCAGATCAGTTTTATACTATGTTGCTTTGTACAAATTCTCTGTATGCAAAGACATGGACAACTATTTGAAAGAAAATAAGAGACAATATGCTAGATAGTGAAGATCTCAGATCGTCTAGCTCTGAAATTTATATCTCTTACATTGCTTTCTTATGTCCTATTTTGTTCTGTTTTGTTGTGTTTAATTTTACCCCCTTTAAAATAAAAATTTAAAAATTTTTTTTAAATTTACTTCAGAGCAGTAGCCAGGAATGTGCTGCTGTAAGAACTGCTGACTAACCAGAGCGGCACAGCAAAGGAGCTCACCTGCAGGCCTGCTGTGGTCCCCTGGCTCCTGCTGCCCTCCGTCCCCACACACGTGCCCAGCCCCCCGGGTCCGGGGAAGCTGGCCCCCCATGGCGACCTCTGTGCCCACCCCCGTCACCACCCAAGGCTTCTGCAGGCCCCGGCAGATGCACTGTGCGCAGCCCAAATGCAGCCAGCCTGGGTGCTGGCAGTACCGCAGGGGACATCTGGGTCCTGATGTAGGCGTCCCTGCGCAGCAGGGTGGGCCTGAGGGGGGGGCACAGGAAGTCCACCTTGTCAGAGATTCCACCCCTTTAGAGATGGCACTTCATGCGGTCATCTCTAAATGGCGGCACCATTGGACTCCTCAACACACTTTGAAGACCTTCTGAAACAGCTTCTAATGTTTGCCATGAGAGCCTGGTGTGGTGGTGCTGGGAGGCTGAGGCAGGAGGGTCGCTGCAAGTTCAAGGCCAGCCTGAACTGCATAGGGAAACCTGGTAGAAAGAAAAAAAGAAAGAAGAGGAATTGTGACCTTCTGCTCTTCCTTGCAGCCCTTCCCTTTGCCTGTGCAGAGGGAGCCTGGGTGGGATCGAAGACCATTTAGAGTTTGCTCAAAACTTTTGGGACCAGGTCTTCGTTGGAACGCCAAAGGGGACATGTCCTGGAACCCTGCATTTAGCACAGGCCCTGACTCGGATGGTGGATAGAACTAGGCAGGCGCGTGGCCTCAGAACCCGCGTGTCTGGCCCATCCTAGGCCTGGGTACTGCGCTCTAGGATCCTGTGCCAGCTCAGCGTCATGAGTGCGTGAATGACAACCCAGGCGTTGCATGACCTCTGACCTCCGTGGTAAACGGTGAGAAGGCCGCAGCGCTTGGCCTGGGTCCAGGTGGCTGTGCAACGGGGCACAATACTTGCAAGCCCAGACCCAGGGCACTGGCCAGCCGTTCCCCAGCAGAGCTCCCCAGAGCAGGCCAGAGCAGACTCCACTGAAGAGTCTGTCCGGAACGCAGGGTACCCCACCCGTGCTCAGCTTGGAGGTGGGGGCGCGGGCCCAGGAAGAGCGCACTCAGATTCGCATCCCGGGCCTGCCCAGCCTTGCGCTGGTTCAGGCCTCCGCTCCCCACGCCCGTCAATGTGCAGCGCATTTGCCATCCTCGGCTCCCGCAAGCTGACTGCAGGGCCCGTGGCGCCCACCCTATGGCAAGCAGAGCAAAGCGCCCCGGGACTGGGCAGCAGGAGTGACTCCACCCCGCCCGCAGCCCCGAGGACCCGAGGGAGGCACTGGGTGCCCCACGCCGGCCACAGCGGGCAGCTGGACGGAGGAGAGTGGCGGGACGCAGGAGCGCATCCTGAAAGTGGCCTCCCCTCACCCACCCCCACCTGCGGCTCCGGGCTGCAGAGCATCTGTTGCCATGGTTACCGCGACTGGGTTCAGAGAGCCCAAGTCTCGACGCAGGAAGGACCTGGCACACGAGCTGCACACTAGCCTCACACGCGCACGCCATGCCAATGCCTTTCACCCATGCACACCGTGGGCACACACGCCAGCCTCACACACGCCCACACTGCGCACGCCACACACACCTGACACTAACCTGCACCCCGCCGCACACCCCTCCTTGCACGTGAGGTACACACACATCACACCGTAGGCACACTCACACCCTACACTCGAGATCCCAACGCCTGAGGACTTGCACTCAGCACAGGCACCTGGGTCTGGGATTCCACCTGGGACTCGCATGAGCAGCAAGAAGCCCCACACTGGGTCCAGTCCAGAGCCGAGGTCTCGAGCAAACCACCGGGTCACACGTCTTGTGCTGTTTGCAGCAACATCCCTGTGTGGCTTCCGGCTTTGATCCTGTCTTCAGCAAGCGGAGGATGGAGTACAGCGAAAGCCCACCGTGCCTGAATCTAAGCGAGGCTTCCCATAACCTCCACCAGTAAAACCGACAGGCAGACAGGTAGCTGCACCAGCCTGTGACCCTGCAAGTCTGAGCCCAGTGACTTAGTGAGAGCCTGAATAAATACATGCACACACACACATCATCACATCCATGCATAAGCAAACGGGGCTGTAGCTCAGAGCCAACGCCCTGGGTTCAGTCCACAAACAAAAACAAAACACAGAGATGAAATTTAAAACTCATAATCTTCACCCAGTGACACATGAACCATTTGAAAAATACGGTCCCATCTTTCTCACTCTAATTTTTAAAAACAATAAATTCCTTTATTTTAATGGACTTATGCTGATTCTAATTATTTTTTTTTAATACTGAGAGCCTAAGGTCCTAGGAACTGAAGAGTTTTAAGTTTAAATGGCATACACGTCTGTGTTGCAGAGACCTATGTCGGAGTGCTTGGGAATTCTCTCAAGCACACAAAGGGTTTTGCTGAAGAAATGAGACAGAAACCAGAGGTGGAGGAGAAAAGAACTAAAAATTTGTCCCCAGGCTGGGTATTCTGGGATTACATTACAGCATTGTCTGTCTTTCATTTGATACATACAAATAATTAGAAAAAATCAAAACTTAGAACACTAGAGAAAGGGGCATTTAGGAGAAGAAAATTTTCTTGCAAAGAGTGCAGAGGACTCAGGTTTTATGAAAATGTGGTCACCACCAAACATAAATGTCAGCAATTATTTAAACAAAAAAAAGTTATCAGCAGACTCAAGTGACCCAAGCCCTGTTCATCTGTCCTGGTCCTGCCAGTCCCTTAGCCAGGCTGTGGGATAGAAAGAGCTAGAACTCTCACCCAGCAACTCATTATCTGTGGTTTCTGATTTGGAATTCATCTCACATACGTGGGTGTGGCTTGCTTTTCAGTAAGGAACTTGCCTTGCTTGATGACACTGGAAGCAGGACAGTGTTGGGTTTTGCTTCTGCAGAGGAGCCCTTGCATTTTTAAAATGTCCACACTGACAGCACAGTGGGGGTCACAGACCCTTTGCCCTTGTTGACTTGGTGGTGCAAACAGTGCAGACCTCAACCTTCAGTGGTGCCGAGGGCCTGGGGGATTCACAAAGCTTTTTTAGGGCTTGGTAAGCCACTGACCTAGGCCAGCTTGGATAGAAGGGGGAAAGTGGCTTGGGCACGCTGCATGGTCAGTCAAGAGCAAGGCCAGAGGGGCTGGGGATTTAGCTCAGCAGCATAAGCACCTGCCTTGCAAGCAGGCAGTCGTGAGTTCGATCCTCAGTACCGATAAAAATGAAAAAGACAAAAAAAAAAAAAGAGCAAGGCCAAAAAGCCTGTGGAGCGGAAGATAGGTACTTGTCTTAGTGACCTTCTTGTTGCTGAGACACAAAGCCGGACAAATTAAAGGAGAAAAGATTTATTTTGGTTCTCAGTTTGTAGTTTTCAGTCCACAGTCAGTTGGCTCCAAGGCAGGGAGGCACATAGCAGAGGAGAAGGAACTCACGGCATGGCACACAGGAAGCGTGAGGGATCAAGGAGGGAGGAGGGTTACAGATAGATAGATAGATAGATAGATAGATAGATAGATAGATCACAGACAGATGACAGACATATAGAAGATAGACAGGTGATAGGTAGACAGACAGATGACAGAAGATAGACAGATGACAGATATGTAGACAGACAGACAGATGACAGACAGACAGACAGATTGACACTTTTCCAGGCCACTCCTACCAGGCTTTACCTCCCAACAACACACCCAGCTATAAACCCATCAGCAGGCTAATTCAGCATCACACACCCATGATCCAGTCACCTCCCAAAGCCCTGCCTAGGAGCACGAGGCTTTATCTCTACAAATCAACACTATAATGAATGGTACAAAGTGGCAAAAGTTACAAAACATTGTAACGTATGAAATCCCACTGCACTGTACACTCTCAGAAGATTAAAATGGCAAATTTTATGTTATGTGTATTTTGCCATCTCTTTAAAAAATCAGTTTCTGGAATCCCACACAAAATTTATCTGTAAAAGCAGAGGGGCCACATGATGGCCACACCTTGGGTCACAGGGTCTCAGTGCCAAGACTGGGCTTGCCCAGCTGGCCTTGTACAGAGCTGCTGGGGACACCAGGTTACAGGCTGGCTGACACAGCAGGTGGGAGCAGCCCGGCTGTGTCTCTACTCTTAGGAGGCTCCCAGGTCCCACTAGAACCCACGGGAGCCCCTGGGTCCTCAGCCAGCAGCAGAGAAGATGAGAGATGCCCAGGGCATGCTGGGAAATCTCTGGTGCTTTGGGAGAGACTTTCTGAAGAGCAGGTGACAGGAAGCAGCCTTTCTGGATGAAGCATCCCACAGGAAGCCCCAGAAGAGGTCCAGTGTCATAAACCCAAATCAGCTAAACAGGGTGGCCGCAGG